TTTGTTTTGTTCATATACTCATTCATGTACACTGAGACTGCATGTACACTTCATGTACACACATGAGACTTCATGTACACTTACATACTGCATCCCACCTTTTTTTTTTTTGTCTACTGAGAAATTTAATAAATATCAGAAAAAGAATGTTACAGTACATTCTGTACAAAGCTGTTTACTTTGAGAAATGATGCTTAATATAGCTTAGGCCAGTCCTGTATCTTTGTCTAGAAATAATCAGTAGGTTTTACTTTGTAGATCCTCCAAGGAAATTTATAGTCCTATTAGTCTGGAGGCAAATAGGCTGCGTCTACACTAATAAATTCAAAGAACTTGCCAGCCACTGAAACACAATGGTCCACACTGGCAAATAGGCAGGACTTTGATTTATGAACTGCATCAATATGGTAATAGTTCCCTGCCACGTCAACAGTTTTCCCTCCATCCCTGAAACAATTCCTGGGCGCTGCCTGGTAGTTATAACAGTCAGGAGACCATTCCCAGGATACAGCTTGCTTGCAGCTACCCTGTTTTAGTGGCTAAGGCTGTGTAGTAGCATGGACTGCTCTGTGCCAGAAGGATGTATAAACCCACTATCTCACTAATTGTGTGAGCTAGACAGATAATAAGAAATGGGGGAGGAAGCATCACAGATGTCTAAGAGGAGTCTAAACATGACAGCAGAAAATTTGCAGGTGTGAGTGTTAGTCCCTTCCTGAATTGTTCTGTGATTTCGTTTGTGAATAAGTGAACGTTTCATATTCTTGAAATAAGGGGAACTTGAAGAATCAGGAAGAAGAGTTTATCCCAGATTCCAGCAGGATCGAGCAGTGGGACTGCAAGAAGCTGCGTGTAGGAGCTAGCATATAAGGCGTAGGCTTTGTACATGTGCAAGAGAGATGTACAGAGGAAAAAGGAGAGATCCTAACGTTTCCATGCTGGCATTTCCATTCTCTAATGTGTCCTATCTATTCACCTATCTGTCATTTTTGACAGATACCCTATGTATATTTTCAATAAAATCTTCACTGCAGAATTTTGTCCTCAAATATACTTTTCAGTAGTGCATATCTACTGAGTATTCATGCAGACTAAACAGTACAATGATTATTAAGAAGAAAAAATATTTTATTTCAGGTGCAACTGCTGATTTTGATGCACACTGTCATGCACACTTTAAAAGTGGTTAATATTTTCCAAAAGGGGAGGCCTATGATTTTTTGAAGATTAGTCTCTCTTAAGATATTTTATGTTTAGCACACCCTAAACTTGGACCTTAACCTGTATGGATAATTAGTTAGCAATAGAAAGGGAGAGGAGGGCTTATAAACTGAGAGTATTTATTCTACCATTTTTTGGACCAGAAAGCTAATGAAACTGTCAAATATATTTATATCTACATACTTGTTTTTCTGCTTTTTAACCAAAAATTACTGATGTGATCATTATTTCTCATTGTTTAAAAAAAAAAAATTCTGTATCTAGCATGAGAAAAATATGCCAAGACTTTAGCCTGGTATGATTTATAGTGCCTAAGTTTTAAACCCATGAAACACTGGTTTGCTGACAGATCTGTATCTCATAATATGTTTCAGGCATGCTGTCCCATAACAGATTGTATATATGAGTATGTGTGGTGAACACACTAGAACACGGTACAGGATAAAAATCTCTTTTACATTAACACAACACACTTTGAACTTGTAAAAGAGAGGCTGAAAGAAATCATCTTTCTCAGAGGTTAGCATAACTGAACAGAGCTGCAGAGGCCATTGGCCAGTGGAAGGTGGACGTATGCCATTTGAATGAATGCTTTCATAAGGCACTGAAGCTGCTTCTTCTAAAGAGCTCTGTAACAAGGTTTGTACCAATACTTGTGTATTCATGGAAATCAAATTAATCAGATTTCATGTTCTGTGTCAGCTTGGTCCTGACCGGGAACAGACAGCCCCTTTGATTAAGATTTCTACTTATCCTTTGTTTTTATTTCCTGAATGTTGGAAAGAATGGGCTTCTGTAGGAAACGAAAGGAAAACTAGGAAAAGTTAAAAAATAGATGTTCTGCACTTTTGCTTCATAAACCTTTTAGTCAGGATATAAACTGAGAGCTTCAGGCATTTTTCTCCACTCCAAATTTCCTTCTGGAAAAAAAAATCTAGCTCATTCTTTATTTGTGGACTATGCTTTGGGCATAGTAGATGCTTTAAAAGTTCCAGCAGCATCCACTAGTGGAAACAGCCAGATGTCATTTTTCGTGATGTGCTGGTTATTTGTTGCTCCGTTCCACAAAGTCATGTGGAAGTGCCCAAAGCAGTTTTACTCTGCATAGATCAATGATGGTATGGGTAAAGATGCTAGGGAGTCTCACAGGAGCAATTTATAACAGAAAAAAAAACAAACTTATGGAAGGTTCAGAGAAGAGCTTCAGAAATGACCTCTGAACTTGGCATTCATTTATTGCATTATGCAGTGCCATGTAAAGATCTCAGAGCTAACTCTTTGTATACCAGAAACAAGATACATCACAGCAGTGTATCGCAGCTCCACTACTTTATTATCTCCAAGACTTTAAACTAGTGACCTTAGAGATAGTTTAGATATTTTGTACTTCACTTCCTTACGCTGCATGAAATTTTTAGGCATTTGAGTTAATTAAAAAGTAGAGTCATTATTTGATTAAAAAGGCCAGGCTTTTCTCCTCTATGGGGAAAAGTTGATCAGATACCATAAGCCTCTTTAATTCAGCAGACAAAACCACAAGTCTCATTCAGTAGAAATCTGGAATTTAACAACTGACACTGGAAATAGATGAGTGTAACTAATTATTGGAAAATCTCAAAAGAGAGAAGAAATAGCCTAAAAGCAGAAAGCCAAACAGGGAATTTGTTCACAATAGCTATTCAGGCTTCAAATATGCACCCTGGCTTGTGATACATCTTTCTTTAAAGACATCTAAAGACAAGACTTCAGACATCTCTAAAGAAGCTCGCACTAAAGTTTAGCTGGATATTTTGACTTTGCCTGGTAGATCTGGGCAACCCCACCTGACAAACTTACCCAAAAATGAGGAACTCAAATGAACTATGAATTTCTGTCAAATTAACTGAATATTTAATAGCACAAAAAAAAATCATGTAGGAGAGCAAGAGGTAGGAAGGTTGAAAATGCTTAAATACTCATCTGAACACTTAGTATTTGAACACTTTTTTAATCCGAAAGCTCTGAAAAATTAAATAGATTCACCAAAAGAAGTAAACAATCCCCAACATAAATGAAAATATTTTTTTCAGATTTAACAAAATGGGTTGGATTGACCCCCCCCAAAAAATTTTTTTTATAGGGAAGAGTTCTTTTACTGGAAAAATGTTTCTTGACCAAAACTGAATGTATCGTCTGATTTTTGGCAGAGAGGGCAAGAGGGATGAAGAGAGTTTTGCCTTACTTGAGTGAAGAATGCAAACTAACAGCTCTTGCTCTTTTGTTCATAAATGGACTGTACAGGATACACGTTGGCCTAATTGCACAAACAGGTAGAGTTCACAGGAGGTTCCTCTGAAATAACTTATCTTCATTGCAGCTGACACAGTCCTCCACTGCTGCCATTTATATCTCATTCACCCAGCAGATCTTGGGAGGAGGACTCTGCCTTCTGGCATGGCCTTTGTAGTAATAGGCATTATTGGGGGGGGTGATCAGTTCTTTAGCCTTCATTACAGACACTGATTAGAGAGGGTGATAAAGACATTGCTGGAGTGCAAAGCGAGTTCTGGAATTAAAAAAAAAAAAGTATGTAAAGTAACATTTTAAATGGATGCACCTATTTACAACTGCTGATATTTTCATACAAATGGTATCAGTAAGAATTTAGTGGTGTTAGATTCAGACGGTATAGCAGAGGTTTTAATTTGCTACGGTTCTGGTCTAATAGGTATAAAGACACTAGAGGATTCTGAAATACTGAACTCAAAGGCGTTCTGACAAACCTTTGTACTCATAACAACAAGAGCTAGTGTGAGCTTATACAATTTAAAACTAATTGCCCAGCCAACATCCTCATTACCATATTGATGCAGTTCATAAATCAAAGTCCTGCCTATTCAAGCTGTTAACCAGTCTTGCATTAAACAGTGTATTTCAATTGAGAAATGTAGTGTGTTGCCAGAACACTGCAGAAAGTTTAAAAGACTGACAGGAGCACAAACCTGGGGAGCTGAACTGCTATGAACTGATGTAATACACATGGCACTAAAGCAGTTGTTCTTGTTTGTTTTCTGAGTACGTTCTGATTTAGCCTGAAAACTTCTCATAATAATGTACTATAGTATAGATACCGCATTTTAGAGAGTAGAGAGCTGCTGGCAATTTGATCAATTTGGCTTCCTACAGGATCTTCTGTTCTTAACCAAGCGACTCACACCTACATTTTTGCAAACAGTAGAGTACTTATGTCAGCTGAATTTCACTGAGTACATTAAGAATATAGGGTTTTTATATAGGCAAAGGACAGGTTCAGCCTTCTAAGAACCTAAATTAGTCACCTAAATAAGGTGCCTGAAGATAAATTTTTGGAATAGCCTACTTAGTAACCTCAAGATGCAATTCAGTTGCCTAAATAAGTGCCTACCTACCCTGCTGTCCTTAGACAGCTATATTGTATATATGCCAAAGGACTTACAGAAGATCTGCACCTCTCTGAGCAGACAACTGAAGGCCACGTGGGAGATAGTCTAAGACATCTCAGAGGGCACTAGCAGCCTTTATTTAGGCAACTGAATCCTCCCTGACCGATTTTTCCTTCAGGTGTATCTCAGTGAGCTTAGGTATCAGAAGCAGCCTAGTCATATGAACAGCGTTAATAAATTTGTGCAGGGTTCATTAGCTACCACTGTGAGACTGCCTCCAGCTCCCGAAGCTCGCTGCTTAGAACCAGCCGGGGATTTCAGCAAAGTTCTGAGTATTATTATCCCAAACACCAGTGCCTCATGAGTTATTTTTCTGTTTATACTTTGCTCAGAAAACAGCAAGTGAGATTTATATTTATTGTGGTTTCTCGTGAGCCAAGTGCAATAGATCTGGCCAGCTGTTGAGAAGTCGCTCTCCCTCTGTGCTAGGGCTTTCACCCTTGCAGTCAACATACAGAGCCTGCAAGCACAGAGAGCTGAAGCAAAGGGAGAGGCAAGGCATAGAAAGGAGAAAAATGAACCTCACAGTAAACACAAGTCTATACCAGCCTCTGCGCCTGCGAGTGTCAAGATAACTGTCATCTTCTGGTGTCTTTTGCTGCTGGTGGGTGTCACTGCTCCAGCAGAGAATTCTCAGTGGGATGCATGCACTTTTGGGAGCAATCTAAAGTACATCCACTGGCAGGCTTTGTGAAGGATGACTCTGGGTTGATATGCAACTTTCAGTAGACAGGAGCCAAATAGAAAAAACAAACAGACCAACACAAGCTGCTTGCTCTTTACCTAATTAGTAGAGTGAGACGTGGTTGTGCTATGCCATTTCTCTTTCATCAGCTTTAAAAAAAATTAAAGATATGGGTATGACCTTTAAGTAGTCCATCTTGTATATATATCCTCCAATATAAGAAAATTGTTTCTTCCAGACTGTACCCCTTCGTGCAATGTAAAGATTAGCTTCCAACCAGTCTATTGAGCATCCCATGAACAAATGTAATGGAATTCACTTTAGAGTCTGAAGAAACATTTCCAATATTTAGACGGGAGGGAGAAAACAGCTCATACCTGTGTGTCTGCTTGTAGCAACGCTGTGTCTTGACTGTGGTTTGGACTGGTTGCTTAGATGAAGAGATAGGAAAAAAAAGTCTGTGTCCCTCTAGGGCGAGGATTGTGGCATTGTTAAAATCCTATGTGGTTTGCCCAGTGTTTGTTTTAAATATTTATTAGGTGTTGGTTCATCTTGGGGCCTCTGCAGTGTCTGAGTATGACTCTGCGTATGCTCTTACTCTTCCATGTTCATTGCACCATTCCTATAAAAACAAAGTGGACGTATTCTAGGGCAATATTAAAAAAAAATCTCTTTTTTTTATTTAGTAATACAATTGTAGGAACACACATATGGACACACACACCTTTCACCCCTTCTTTCCCCTGAGTATTAAGACTTTCAGCAGTTTCACATCAGGCTTAATTTCTATAGTTCACACTGTAATTTTAAATCACTCAAAATTGCCTTCTAAGCACAAGTAGTCCAACAGCCTCAGGCCAATATCTCATCAGGAGCTTGATGCTGCATTTCATAGGTGCTAAAATTTAATGCTAAAAGAGGCCTCATGGCAGAAGGAAAGCCAGAAGAATTCTTATTCTTTAAAGATACTTCATTCACATGCTGAGAATCACACTGAAAGCCGTATACTCTAAATTCCTCATTCCTACCTCAGTCCTTTTTTGTACCTTCTGGCCAGAGGGTGGAATTAGGTATGCAAAGGGTATGAGACTTTTCCACATGTGAAGAACCGGGTCTACTCCTTAGCTTTACTGGTGTTCACACGCTCCGAGTGTTTGATTTTGGTCCGGATCGTAACCATTCGACGCAAAGGCTGCACATAGCAGAATGATTTGCAAAGCCAATACCCAACACTAGGTAAACTGACTAAGACTAAACGTCACCCAAATATCTAAGTTCTTAGAAATGGCATCAATAATACTATTGCAAATGCCCAGCTTAGTCGCAATTAAACCACCATTCCTGTATGGTGGTGACGATGACAGTGATGTTGAGAATGATATTTTAGACCAAAACACAATTCAGTCGGGATACATTTTACTACTGGCAGGATGTTAGCATCTTGGCTGGATCAGCATCAAGCTCAGCTAACTAAACCAAATGCATCAATGATTCCTCCTAGACCTGAATCTTTCCCCCTTAATATTACAAGTAGGTCCAGCTGTAAATATTTTGCTGGCATAGGTGCATCAGTCAGCAAGGTGGCTGGAAAATACTGTGTGTGTAACTAGGAGTTGAACCAAAGAAAAAACATGAATGCAGGCACAGTTATGCTTGCAAAATGTCCCTTTGTCTCTTTAATTTATTCCATTCGGGAAGGCATTTTACCTTCTTGACAATGTAAAATGAGTTTCTGGTAGGGGGTGGGGGTGGGGCTGGACATGGCAAAGCTGAAGGGAAGGGCTGTTAGCAAAGCTATTTTGGGATGATAAGCATCTAAAGTTGAGACAAGCCTTACTGAACTATCACATAAAGTAATTTGTGTTAAATGGTTGCCTCAAGAGGTGGCTTCATTTGCTGAGTGACTCATTCATAAATATGCCAAATTCTTTGCTGACTTAAATACTAGTTAAGCTCAGTGAAGGCAATCAGTCAGGTGCATGAAGTGTAAGAGAACTCAACATCTTAGTGCTGTCTCCCTTACTCACTGAAATGAGTCAGCAGGGATGTAGATTTTGCAGCATCTATGAGTACTTCTGGATGTTTCAGGGTGAAATATTATATAGTATTACTAGAATGCAGGATCCCTTACCTGAGTAGAAGGGTACTTCAGCTTCTTCATTTTGCTGTTTGCTCTAATCAAAAGCAATACAGACAAACACTTCCAAAATTACACTATGACTCAGCAGTCTTCTCACCCTGTATTTCCAATGACAATTCACACTTTCCCTTTCCAGGCTAGATTTGCAAATAACTGATTTGTAATCACACCCGGAAACTCACATGCTCAGTACCCTACATTGTAGCTACACTTTGCAGTACATGCAAAAGTCTGCCTGCAAGCTATGATCCTGTATATACATATAAAGGAAGGCTTGTGAAATTTTGGCCTCAAATGTAGGTCTTGAAGCAATGTAGACAACTAATAATTAGAATTTGCAAGTGACACGGAAACCTAATTTTGGCATTCCTTTATGCTGACATGGAAGTACTACATTAAAAGGCATTTCACAGCCTACCTGTTCAAAAACTGACAGCATCCAAAGTAGAGGGTGTGCGGCGTGAAACTGAATCCAGGTGCTTCAGGTGATAAAGAAAAGCACGATGTTAAGGTCTGGCATAACGTGAAGAATGAGATCACACTGTATTTTTAGAAGTGCCTGGTGTTCCTGTGAAGCATGCTCTTGCTCTCTCTTCTTTTTTTTCCCCTCCCTCTTCTTTTTTCTTTCTCTCTTTCTGTGAATAATTTGGCCAGCGCTTGCAGAGGCTATTTTAGCCCCAGGGATTCTCACACATACTTCTGTTGACAGAGCTCTTGTGCAGCAAGCAAGCTGAAATGCCTTTTGTCAGGAGCTGTTCCTTTCTTTTTCTATTCTGCCCCAACGCTCGGAGGATCTTTTGGCTACTAACCGAGTTCCTGTTGTTAGGCTTACGGAAATTAACTGAATTGAAACATATGGGATTACCTTGCAAAACGGGTAAAATTATAATCAGGAAAACAGCCCTAATTCCTAATTTGCTATTAGTTTATGTGTTTCACATTCTTTTGGCTTGTTTGTTTAGTTTGTCAAGGGAAGATTGGTTAAAGCAATGGAAACTATTAAACACAATTGCTATAAAAGGGAAACAAATGCATTAGGGGCTGAGGGGTAAAAACTCTTTGATTCTCCTTGCGAAAATAGAAATGAGACTATCAAATAGCAAAGTCTTTGTAAAATCCTCCTATTTAATGGTTAAGCTTAATATGAGCTTTTTGTGTGATCTTTGTCCAAAACTTGATGAGTTTTAACACAAATTTTGGTTGTCTGGGCAAAGGAGAATCAGGCCAACAGATCATGATGCACAAAAATCTGCAAGTGTGCACATACACCTTTGCTTTTGCCAAATCATAAGAGAACTTTCCATCCACAGCATTTCACTAACTATATGATAAATCTTTATTAATTTATTCTTGATTTGTAAGGAGCTTTCCTTAGAGAATAAATTTCAGGTTGTAAGTTTTAAACTCCTATGTCTGTAAAAAGCTGTAGTTGACTGGGTGCTATATTGCACATTTTACCTTAGAAAAAATGCCTTTGTTGCTTATTTTGGTGCTCTCCCTAAAGCTGTTTTGGAGTCAGTTTTAGCTTGACAGCTGAATGTTAACTGAGGCATATCCTACGTTGTCCCTTCCAGCCTGAAAAAAAACCTCACAAATGCCTGTGAGATTTTTATTATCCGGCAATATCTTTACCTACACTATTGCCTACTAGTACAGCTAATGCTACAGTATAGATTTAGAATAACCTAAGCACAATAAATGAATTTTGCTATTTATAAAGCTTTGGAGACCTTTTCCAGAAAGATTACAAATTTTCAGAACTTGTAAGTGCATACGTTCATTGTTTTGGCGATAATTATATTATTTTCAAGGTCTGCGTTATGGGCCTTTTACTACAAGGGCGAATTTAGCTCTGAATGTATAGACCTCTCTGAGTTATTCATTTTGCTATGGGCAGGATTTCTAAATCCACAGCTCTGCCCAATCTGTTCCATTTTTAGGAGCTATAAATGTATATGTAACTCTCTATAAGATATGGAATTTGGTATGTTGTATACGAGGATTTTTCTAGTCACTGCAACACTGAATGAAGAGATATGCTCCACAGGATGAAAGGGGAAAACTCACATTCTGTCTTCTTTTCACTTCCTCTTCATAGATTTCTTGCCACACTTGCACAAAACCAGCCTACTCCTGAGTTCTTTCTTTGTCCCAGTCTCTTCACAAGAGAAAAAAAAAAAAAAGACTTCAATGGAGTAAGCAAATCTACTAAAAGGAAAAACTTTTTCATGCTTTTTGCAATTAAACTGTAGAAATTACAGCTTCACGCCACACACAGTAAGACTGGAAATCATTCTAGACAAATAACTTACCAAAATTTAAAAAGAAACTGGGAAAATCAAGAGATAAATAACAACACGAATTTTTGCAGGGATCCTAATTCTTGTTTCAGGATCTAAAACATCATCTTAAAATATTACAATTACACAAAACACCATTGACTTATCCCATCCTAGCCTACTTCGAAATTTTTGTAGCTTCTTCTGGAGCATTTTACACTAGATTGTTATAGCAAAGATGTTCCCATGAACACAGGGCTATATTCCTACAGGATGTCATTACAGCAGAGTCTGCTTCGCAGCATCAGCCGAACTGAAGATGGTCCAGAGAACAGGCCAAGGTTGGGCAATTTCTGCCAGAAGAGGGAAAGA